CTGTTGCTTAAGACGCCCTACTTGAGGTCTCTCCCCTCTTGCCTGTCCCTGCCACAGCCCAAACCCAGGCCCTTGGTATTCCCTCCCTGGGTGACCGCAATAGCCACCGAAGGTCTCCTGGCCTTGGTCTTTCTTCCTACCTGTCCCCTGGACAAGCCACTGTGAGAATAACCTTTCTAGAGCAGGTTTTCATCTCCTCTTGCTCCAAGTCAGACCCTTTGGGGAAGTCTCCAGGGTGTGGGAGACCAAGTCCACACTTCCATCCCTGGCATTTGAGATTTCCACCCAGGCAGCGCTTTCCAAAGTAGTGTTTAGAGGAAATGCTGGATGCAGAGGGCTTAACAGCTATGCCCAGAGGGGAGAGAGACGAGCCTTCCTTTGTTAATTAAGTTTGCTTCCCTGTTCAATAACTTGGTCCGGGTCTTCTCTGTGTCTGTTGCCTCCATGTGTATGGGCTGAGATCCTCTAAGAGGCGGAGTTTCTTAGCTCCCTTGGCCTAGGAAGCACCCACAAACACTCCCATTTAGCTTTCCTGGCCAGGATCTTACATGCTGAACTTGACCGTAAGCTCTAAGTATTCACTACCGTGTCCTCAGCCCCTAAGAGAGTGCTGGTACCAAATACTTGCTAGACGGAGGGATGAATAGACACTTCCCCATCTATCCCGTATCTCAGATTTATCAGACTCTACACATCACGACCTGTTTCACGCAGGTCATCGGCCTTTCTGCTGCAGGAACAGAACCAACTCTTTAGCCCCTAATCACTTTGCTTGATTTCCTTCCTGCCCCATCCAAATGCCATCATTCGAGGCACAACTCAAATTTGACATCAACTACCTTAACATCTTGCTTTTATGTCTAAAAAGAATGTTTAAAATTTCCCCTTCCAGCCTTCTTTAAGTCCTGCTTCTGCAAAGGATTTGAGGCTCTTACTTTCAAAACGTGCATTCATCTCTCTGTGCCTTTGAGGACTCTATTGATCAAGATTGTGTGTGCCTAGATCTTATCTTCCTGCAAGGTCACAAATTCCTTGGGAGAAATCTATGTGCTATGTGTTCCCTGCAAAACATGAAGTATGTTACCAGTAAACGATTGCTAAGAAAATTAATTCCTGGTACCTTCTGTAGGAAAACAAAGCCCATTCATTATTCTACTTCTCTGTTATTTTTTTTTTCAATTTCTCCACTTCTGCTGATTCCTTATTTTGTATAATCCTTATGTATCCCATCCTTTAAAAAGAAAGAAGCTTTTTCTGTACTTTTCAGCACCCTTGAATAGCGGTTCAATGTTTTTCTTTGTTACCTTAATGAACTTCTTGATAGAACTACATAAATTTTCTCATATTCACTCACCCCTTAACCCTTGCAAGTAAATTTTTGTCCATGGGACTAATTCCCTTCCTGAAGGGTCCCCATAAGATCTGAAGGGACAAACAGTGTCTTGGTAGGACCCACACTTGACCATACTGTGCCTCCCGATGACGTGACCTTCTGTCCCCTCCTCAGCACCTGAGGCAATGCCTTTCCAGGCTTTCTCTCTCTCTGTATCCAACACATATTTATTGAGACCTACCAGGTACTAGGCATTGAGGAGACAGTCAAAAGGACACAGGAGTCCTTAGACCACTCAGGGGACACGGTCCAATCAGTGGGCAAGACACTGAAATAATCAGCAAACATTTTGCTCTGAGCCAGCGTATGTGCTGCAATAAGACAGTTGTCTTGCCCACGGGTGGCTTCCTTCTCTGGCTATTCCTCTGGCTACTTCTGATATTAGATGTTCCTCAAGGCTCCTTCTTGACTTTCCTTTTTGCTTCTCTGCAAGGACTCTCTTCCTTGACAATCTCATCCATTCCTAGAGCTTCAACTCTAACCTCCAGATGCATGAATCCTAAACCAGCACCCAGTGCTGCGTTTTCTAACACCCGCTGGGCGTTTTTGCAAGATGTCTCATTGGTATGATAAACCTCACACACCCCAAATCCACAAACCTGTATCTCTTCTTTCCCAACCAACAAACCAACAAGACTCAATCCTAACAGCACACAAATCTTCCCTTCTTCCTGACTTCTCTATTTATATTATTAATAGCAATCATCTCCCAGTCTCAAGAATTTTCTTTCCAGTTACTGTTCTTTTTTTTTTTCCTTTTTGTCTTTTTTCGTGACCGGTAACGGGATCGCAACCCTCAGTGTTGCGCCCGTACCGCGACCGGCAACAGGATCGCAACCCTTGGTGTTGCGCCCGCACCGAGCTCAACCAGTGAGCGGACCGGTCTGTATATGGGATCCAAACCCTCGGCTGGAGCGCCACCGCGCTCCCAAGTGCCGCACTCTACCGAGTGCACCACCGGGCCGACCCACCAGTTACTGTTCTTAAAACCTATTCTCATCTCCTTCCCAGTTATTGTTCTTGTTGGATAAAGGACCTAGGAAATGTTTTCTTTACATAAAGTCTCATGGAAATCGTTGAAACATATGATCCATACCCACATCCTAGACTCTAATTTTGTGTGCATTTCCTCTCCAACAAGTCTGTAAGCTCTGCCTAAGGTCTTAACCCCAATCACCTCTCCTGCCTTTTGTGTGCTTCCCTTGGATTGAACGTCCCCCTAACGCTTAATCCCTATTGTGAGTGTTGAGGGTGGGAAATCCTATTATGGTAATTGAAAGCTCAGGCCTTGAAGACGTGATTAAGTTGATGGTTTAACAGTGGCTGGTGGTCATGGGTGTGGAGATCTCTCTCTCTCTGTCTGCTCCACCATTCTGCCATGTGAGACCCCTGGGTCACTGTTATCACCAAGGCCTTCACCAGATGTGTTCCCTGGACTTTGGATTTCCCAGCCTCATAAACTGTGCGCAATAAATTTTGTTTTCTTGTAAAGTACCCAGTTCTAAGTATTTTGTTATAACCTAAGAAATAGACTAATACAATATCCAAGAATACCCAGTCCAGATCTGGTCTCAGACCATATGCTCAATAAACACCAGTTGTGATAAACTGTAGGATAGGATAATTCTAGTAGATGGGGTATTGATTTTCAATGCCCAAAAGTAAAGGGTTCTTTATGAAATTCTGTCTGAGATGTCAGGCTTTAATTTTTGATGCTAGGACACCACAAAGTCTTCCTCTGTTTCGTTCAAAGAAATCAAGCTGAAATCGAGCCTTAGTAGAAGTGGATTTTAGTTTTTAAATAATAAAAACCACTTAAAAGGCAGATTATTCTAAGGAACATATTTCCAGCTTGCTTTTAATTTCTGAACTATAGAAAATGGAGTGTGGGTTTGTTTTTCTTTTTCTTTTAAACACTTCTTCCCTAGTGAGTTTTCTTTGTTCTAACTGCCAACGTGGTTTCAAAGACTCTTTCTGGTTATCTAGCAGTTAGAACAAATCCTACAGATTATACAAAGAAACCAACTGAGGTAGCTAGTTTATGGTCCTACTTTTTACAGGAAGAGAAGACATTGTTTTTAAAAAAAATCTCAAATAGGTCTTTCCCCCTTTTTTTAGTAGAAATAAATTTTCATCTTTTAGGACAGTCTTTACTTGCTATAGCCAGAACTATGGTACTAAAATTAGAAAAAAATTCTGAACAGAGTCCTAATGTATATTCTGTATCTAATCTTGAGTGGTTTTGGAAAATCCCTAACAGTAAACTAAAAGAACAATGCAGCGTTTTGGGGGGTGTTTTGGGTTTTTTTTTTTTTTTTTTTGGCAGCTGGCCAGTACCGGGACCCAAACCTTGACCTTGGTGTTGCAAGGCTGTGCTCTAACCAACTGAACTAACCAGCTAGACCCAACATTCTTTTATTTTCAAGGGAGTCTATGTAATATCACAAAAAATGCGAGGACCAAAACTTGGTTAAAGAAATTAGAATTACAAGAAAGGAAAAATGTATACTTTTGATTTACTAAAGTAGTTTAAAGTCAGTTAGTGCAGGAGCCAATGATTTGGTTGTAATTCCAAGAAAAATGCCGAGCATCAGGGTTAAAGATTAGGAATCTGATATTGACAGCCAATGATCGAAGGTCCCCCCAAATACAATGAAAATTAGTACCACTGATAACTTTCAAGAGAGCTGTGCATTGATAATTAAAATAGCCCATTTTATCAACTATCGTGTAACTCTGCTTTATTATAGAGGAGATTTGACTACCTAAGAATGTTACTATTAAAGATTTATTATTGATTGATGTTTTAAAAACAAGACTAAACAAAACTTGTTAGAAATCAGCTTGGTGTTACGGAAGGATCAGGACTAAGCCAGCCTATCTTGAAGCAAAACATGATTTTTGAGGCTCTAAATATAGTTTAGCAGATATGAGGTATTATGCAATTTTACTGATGAGCTTCGAGTGAATGAACAGAGGTGGATTGGACAGTACAAGAAGTCACTGAAGGACATAGTGACCAAAGGAAGCTTCTAGAAGGACACACATCAAAAAGTGAACAGTGAAATGACAGGTAATTCTCAATGTTTTTTTTTTTTCTTTTTGTACATTTTTGCACAATCTGAACTTTAAAATAATAAACATTCTTTTCTAATCAGAACACAATACACATTTGCTTTTTGGAAAAAGACCATAGAAATGGTATGTTAAAGTTGACGTCTGATATCTGAAAAAAGTAAAAGCTTTATAAACCATTCCGAAAATGTTATATTAGAGTATCCAGTTTCGTTGTGTCCTAAAAAAATGTTCCCATCTGCAGCAACAACTCTTCTTTCTAATTCACTAGCATTGATTCTTCTGTTCTTGGCCTGAAGATAAATATTTATTTCAAAGAATGGACTAAAGCTACCACCGTTATTAGAAGTAACAAAGGTTCTCTAGATGAGCTACCATATTGGGATGCTTAAAAGATCATTTTCAAATTTATTATCTAGAAATCCTGCTCTTCAGTCTTTATTTTCAAAGTTCTGTAAGATAATTCCTTAAAAAATCCTAGGTTGATTATCATAACACCTAGTGGTAAAAATATAGACGAAATTATTCTTACCTGATGTTGCATATGAGAATTTGGTGGGCAGTTCATGGTAACTGTCTCACACTCAGCTAGAAAGAAAGAAAAAGAAAAAAGACAAAGCTGGATAAAGAGAGAACGTGCTCTGCAGTGTGAGATCCAGAACCAAGGCTCAGTCTCAGGTGCTGCCTGGACATCTGGTAAAATCCGGATGGCCTCATTGCAAGGTCCCTTCCAACTCTGCTCCCGAGGATTAGGTCCCCTAAGCTAAACCATGCTCCCTATCAAAGAATCAGGCACAATTCCTGCTTACCTTTCAGAAGAAGGTTGCAGTTCCCTGCCAGCCTGTGGAATTATTCAAATAGGCCAATGTGTCCTCCCATGGGAACCAGGGGGCACCCACCCTCCTGATACAACAATGCCTGCCTCACACAGTCCCTGGTGTTCACCGTGTTCCTGTGTGGGGCCCTGCATGGGGTGCCATGTCCTGTTCCCAGGCTGTGAGGACAGGTGACTCATAAGCTTCTGTCAGTCTCATATGTCTGGGGTTGGGTGCCTTGTGCATGGCCGTCCCCATAACCTTAGACCACGATCCCTCCCTCCCCAATGGGGTGAGGAGGTGGATGTGAAAACAGCTGGCCTAAGGACATCCAGCTACCATCGAGGACATTCAGTCACAGCTGACTGCGCTTGGCCAGCCGCACGGAAGGAGCCCCCTGTGGCTGGCAGACTCACGCTTGGGTCTATGTAGTGTCACGCTGTCTCTGTTGGCTGTTTGCCATCTCTTCCCACCTAAAATGCTTTTGTCCCAAGACGACAGTTGGTGTGAGTGACCAGACCCCAGTGTGGTGTGCCATCAGGTGTGGCCCGTGTTTGGTAGGGTGGCCTCCGAGGCTCCCACCTGTACACACCCTAAGTGGTATTGCCAAGTCCCCCTCATCAAGGTCAGGTGAGAACTCTCCAGGCACTGTGTCTAGCCTGGTGACCATCACTGGCCACCTGGGGAAGCCACACAGACATTGTTTATGAGTGGGCATCCCAGGGACAGGCACAGGGATGGCCCTTTGTGAGGCTGACAGAAAGGAAGGAGACCCCACCCCAGGGAGAATTCTGCCTGGCACCCTGATTGCTGATGTCCTGGCAAGGGCAGGGACCCTGCCTGTCTCCTAAGCTGCTTCCTCACTGTTACACGTGTGCTCTACTGACCCCCCAAGTCACTGTGGGGCACAGCGTGGCAGCCTGTGGCCCAGGCTCTGCCCAGCACAGCAGCTCAGCGGTGCCCCCAAAGACCTTATCCTGAGATCCCGGGTCTTGATGGTCCCACCTGGGCCAGAGGCAAACCACCTGATTGGATCTGGACCACATCTCCAGAAAGATTGACCGGAACTCCCTGGGGAAAGAGGTAGCTGTCTATGAGGTGGCTCCCAACCCTTTCCTGTAACCACCCAGAAGGTCCACATCACGGTGATCAGATGGAGACAAAAACTGAAAGCTGCAATTTTACGCGGCCAGAAACGCAAAATATTCCTAGCAAATGTGCACAGGAGGGGAAAACATCAATCCATGAATTAATCAACAGAAACTCTGCATGGCAGAAGACAGGACCACGGCAGCGTGAGGTTTCAGGATGTGTTCCTCTCGGTTCCGGGCCCAGTACCCTTTCACTGTGTCACTCTGGTGCCTGGGCCACATCACAACAAAGATCCTGATCCAGAGTTGCAGGGAAAACCCATGTCACCCTGCGTGTGGCACAGCGAAGGGTTAATTCAACCTGACCTAAGCCTGGGGTCCTTAAACCACGTGAAAGAAACCACTGCCACAGGAAGGCTCCCAACCCTCACGGGACTCTGAGGAAGAAATTCACAAATATGAGAATAGAGGACACCCCCAGCTTACCCCAAAAAAGTACATCCAGTGACCAAGAAAAGGGAGTGAAAGAAAGTTAGAAAGAAACTGGGTACAGGAAAGGAGGCCAAAGAGGGGGAAAAACATGAAACAGAGGTCTACAGTTTGACCCGATCGGAAATACAGAATTTACTCAAATAATTTATACAGCAAAAAGATTAGAGTGCTGATTGGCTTTGCATCCTGCAAGGTAGGTTTTGAATTAATTTTAACATCTGCTAAAATGCACTGATTGGCTAAAGCTTTGTGGACTTAATCAGTCCTGGGGCTCGAATTACAGTAATATCTCGAGAGGCCACTAAATGTAAACATGGTACCTCCTTTAATCTGAGGGGAGTTACTGAATAAAATAGAGGAAAACAGAGATTCCTCACCTAAGCAGCAGAACTGTGGTCGTAGCACCCATTGCCCTAAAATATCCCAGAGTGGGCATGAATACGCTGTCCTAATAAATTAATATTAAATTAAATCTTTGGCAGTTACGAGTTGGCTTAACAAAGTGGGACCCTATGGCACCCTGAGTTAAAATAATTAATATGGGAAGCTGGCCAGTTAGCTCACTCGGTTAGAGCATGGTATTGGTAAATAACACTGAGGTCAAGGGTTCGGATCCCCGTACCAGCCAGCCACCAAAACAAAAAGGAAAAAAAAAAAAAAATCATATGGCCTCGTGTAAATTAAAACAGGGCCCTCAAAGATCGAAATGCATTATAGAAGACCACATGCGTGGAGGGTGGTTATCTTCTCTGCCTGTCCACGTAGCAGCCTAACTTGGCCTGTACTTAGACCTGGAAAAAAAAAATGAATGGTGCTTCGTGGTGGATTACTGCAACCTCACAGCTGTGGTCCTGTCCCGTAAGGCTCCCGTGTCCACACAATTGAAATCACCGATTCCATCCTATCAGCAACTAGTAAATATTTTGCTCTTAAAGAATTAGCTCATACATTCTTCTCAGTGCCAATTTCAACAGCCTGTCAGTCAGAGTTTGCACAAGTTTGCAAGCAAGATCGTAGCTGCATCCAGCCTTCTCCAGATTGTGGGTGGGACACTATCTGGATGGCATCTGCCTCTGGGGTCATTCATTTGAAACAGCCATCCAAGCCACACAAATACTCAAAAATGCTCACAGGAAGAAGATGGGTCATTGCCCCCAACATGGCACAAGGTCCTTAGCTAAATTTATAAAAGTTATTTGGTAAACTAAGGGCTGCTTCCTCCCTGACACTATCAATAAACAGCGATTGACCCTTTCTGCACCCACAGTGTTAGTACAAGTCTAATATAGTCCTCGTTTACAAATTTTACTTAATCTCGCTGATGCTATTACTTGCAAATCAGCCCACTGTAAATTTGGTCCTGTCCAACGAAAGTCTTCAACAGGCCCTCGCGTTAATACCCCAGATATTGCACTGTAGGGTTTTCGTGACCTCCTCTTATTCCCATGTCTCTGGACCACCCATGATGGCCACCAGCTGTCCATAGGCTTCAGGGGCCAGAAACTGCCCTCCTAGATCCTGCTGTCTACAGCATTCGAGCAGCAATCGCTGGCTGCATACCAGGCTCTCCTGAAACAGGTGCCCACCCAGCCTGAGCCTGTGACCCTCCATAGCCCACTGCCCATTATGCCTTGGTTCGTGGGAGCAGCATCCAGCAATCTCTGCATGACCACTGAGGCCTCCCTCATACAGAACGGAGCCAAACCTGGGCCCTCTGGCATATTCCACTTGCAGGAGGGGGTGGCCTGAGGCCATGGTGCTGGAAGAGGTCCCCTCTCCCAGACTCCTAGGTTACCTGGGGAGCTTCTTCAAAGCAATTGAGTGAACAGCAATGGGGGTTTAGAGACTTTTCAGATGACATCGCCACCATCATAGGTGACAGAGTGCACTGGAGAGCTGCTGCTTTCCATCCCTTAACTAGGATGTCCCTGACAAAGGACAGGACCAAGGGTCAGCGCAGTTGGCCACACTACAAGCAGTCACTTAACACTGGCTGCCATGGCCAACACATGGCCTCATCTATAAAGGGGGACACTTCTAATGTCCACACTTTTGGTGACCCTCTCGCCATGTGGCCCTCTCCCAATCAAGCCCTCACCCTGCTTCTTAGAGAGGCACTTCTATTCCTTAGAAGTCGCAGTCCCATCGAGGTTTAAATTGATGTTGTGACATCGAGGAGTTAATTGTGGTATAAAACCTAAAATGAAGACCCGTTGCTTTGTGCTGCCCTGACAACTGCAACTGGCACAAGCGAGAGGGTCTCAAGTGGCCGAATGCAAATTCCCCTACCCACACCTGTCCCATGGATAACGTCCCCTAGATAAACAGTGGCCCTTATGAAGGGGCCCAGGCATGGTCCTGCTTATCTCTGAGTCCCTGCCACCCCACAGAATTATTCCAACAGGCCAATCAAACAAACCACCCACAGAATTAAGACAATTCTCCCGTGGGAACCTGCGGGTCCCCACCCTCCTGATATGACAACGTGCGCCTTACACAGCCCCTGGGTGTTCACTCTGCTCCTGAGAGCGACCGCTGTGTGGCCCCACGTGGCATGCGGTGTCGTCCTCCCCAGGCTATGAGGACACTGCTATTGGCCTCTTCTGTCCTGCTATGTGTTCAGCTGTCCCCAAAACCCTAAGGTGGAGTCCCTTGCTCACTGACAGGGTGAAGAGGCGGTCAAACATCCTCCTCTGATTAACCACCATACATCAAATTCCACTGGGGACATCTGTCTGACATTTTACTAAGCCTTCCAGGCAGCAGAGTGTGGGATTATCTCACCTTTTTGAAGGTCAAACCAGAACCGTTTCAGTTCTGCGGTTGCCAGAGTGTGGTTGCCAGAGTCAAAGGCACTTGAAATGCATGTTAAATGTTTAACATCTTTCAAGATACACTGTTGGGGGCTGGCCCGGTGGTGCACTGGAGAGTGTGCCGCTTGGGAGCGCGGCGGCGCTCCCACCGAGGGTTCGGATCCCATGTGGAGACCGGTTCCCGCTCACTGGTTGAGCGTGGTGCGGGTGCAACACCGAGGGTTGCGATCCCGTTGCCGGTCAGTAAAAAAGACAAAAAGGAAAAAAAAAAAAAAAGATACACTGTTGGGAAGAAACTTCCATGCTTACGTAGGTTTACGTATGTGAAAGTGTGCAGAATGTGTGAACAACTGATTTTGTTCCATTAGATTTTAATC